CATTCTACTATTAGGATGTTGATCTTTATGCATTTCATTTCATTCTTAATGACTTCCAGTTCTCCTAGATTCATACTCCATACATTCTATGTTCTGATTATTAATGGATGTTTTCAGCTGTTTCTTCTCATTTTAAGTCATGCCACATCAGCAAATGAAAGTCCCGAAAGCTTTACTCCATCTGCTGCTATTCATAAGGTTTTCACTGGCCTTTTTTTTTTTAACAGTAGATTACCACATCCATCTTCCTAGTCTGTCTTAGTCTAGAAGCTCTGCTGAAACCTGTCCATCACAGTTGACTCTGCTGGTATTTGAAACATCAGGGGTGTAGCTTCCAGCATCACAGCTACTCACAAATCACCATAGTATAGCAAATTGACAGACATGCATACACACAAAATAATGACTTATCAAAAATCTTTGTTTGACTTTAATAATGTTGAATAATACATTTGAATACCCATCCCCCATTTTTTCCACTCCAACCCGTCACCTTCAATTATTGTGCAATTCATGAAGTCCTAGAATGCCACAGATGCTACAAGTTGGTACTTTAAATAATGATAATTAGAAGTTTGTTTTGTACCTCTCTCTTTACTAAGCATGATGTCATTCTCTAGGGATTGGTACCCCAATAACATGTCCAAAGTATGTGAGATAAAGTCTTGCCATCCTTGCTTCTGAGGAGCATTTGGCTATACTTCTTCCAAGACAGATTTGTTTGTTCTTCTAGCAGTCCATGATATATTTAGTGTTCTTCACTAACATCCTAATTTAAAGACATCAATTCTTCTTCTGTCCTCCTTATTCATTATCTAGCTTTCACATACATATGAGGTTATTGAAACGACTGACTTGCGTCAGGTGCACCTTGGTCTTCAAAGGGACCACTTTGCTTATTAACACTTTAAAGAGATATTTTGCTGCAGACTTCCCAAGTGCAGTACATAATTTGATTTCTTGACTGTTGCTTCCATGGGCATTGATTGTGGATCCAGGTAAAATAAAATCCATGACATCTTCAATATTTTCTCCATTTATCATGATGTTGCTTATTGATCTATTTGTGAGGATTTTTGTTTTCTTTATGTTGAGGTATAATTCATAGTGAAGTCTTTGATCTTCATCAGTATTTCAAGTCCTCTTTCCTTTCAGCAAGCAAGGTTGTGTCATCTGTATATCACAGGTTGTTCACGAGTCTTCCGCCAATCCTGGTGTCTCATTCTTCTTCATATAGTTCAGTTTCTTGGAGTAATCTGCCTTACGTTGACAGTAAAAAATCCTAGAATGGCTCTTGACATATTAGCTTAACTATACCATTACTTGCATTATAGGCATCAGTATACATAAATCAGTCACTGAATCTCTATATTATCTAACTTCTCCCATTCATATGAAGTTTATGGCTTGGTTTATTTAAATTATTGCTTATTATTATTATTATTATTATTATTATTATCCCATATGATTGTTCAAGTGGTCAGTTGAAAACAGGGTGATATTAATCATCTAT